CTATCTGCTTCACAACATGCGCACATGAAGCCTATCGAACGACACCACATAAACGCGAAAGACGTGTATATAGCTATAACAGCAAAACTTCGCTGCCCTGAATACAACATAGCGTGAGTATCCTTGCGTATAGCGCAAATGCACGCGGAGGGCAATGCAGGCCGCGCATTGCGTGCATACATATGCGCGTAAAGACGAAACGTAAAATGAGCTTCAGCTTTGTACAGCATGTTGTTTTGATGAGAGGCAATGATACAACAGATGAATGAAAATCCCCAGTACTACCATGAAGCAAAAGCAAAGCTAGGCTTTCAGTTCTCAACGGAGGTTCTTCACGTGGGTCGGTGACTTAGTGATCTGTAATTTCTGATTCTCTCGCTCCCCTTGTCATCTTGTCTGCAATGCCATCCTCGTCTCGCTGCAAAAAAACATACCATCATGCATGTGACTCATAGACATCCGGACTGAAAACGACAATTGCTTGTGTACCCAAAAGCCGGCGAAGGGTCGAGGTACTCCGCGCGGAGAGAATCCATTCCGCGTATAACGCATATTTGCGTCCTCCGCACCAAAGAATTTATATGACATTATATACGTTCATATTCAATATTACACGTTTAAACTGGAAATTGTTATGTGGTTTGCCAGTCCTTGATAGTTAGTGAATTTTGAGGAGATGACACGTTTTTCAACATATGTACCGCTATCTACATTCTTGGCATTTACTGTCGAAAAGATGGGTGGGGGTTAATTGGAATTGTGTCTTTCACTAGCAAAAAAAGCAATAAGAGTGAGGATAAACGAGGCCAACTTCAATTGGCCACAAACCACCCCCAAAACAGTGTTGGCGGGACGCATACATGATTCATGAAGCCTACGGAGAGGGATTCCTGACGGAAGCTCACAACATAAAACTCGAAAGACTTGTATGTAGCTAACTCTAAGGCATCTAGCGCGAATTGTATTCGCCCTCAAAGAGTTAATTAACGTAAAATGAGCTTCAGCCGAAACGTGCAAGAATTTGTGAATTAAATACTGTGCAAAAGACAATATGCGTCGTTTGTCAATACATTATCCACGTTTTTTAGTTCAGCGGTCGCAGTGTCTTCGACAAAATGAACGTGTTGCGCACCATGAAGGGGGATGTTTTTCACGTGGCGTTGCTGTATGCATTTTATAACCAGATTCTCTTAGCTATTTTTTGTGGCTATTCTTGCGTGGAAAAAACATACCATTACTACGGACTCCGGCGAAGAACGGGATGACTTAGATGAGCTTGATGTCGTATGTACCCAAAAGGTCACGGTTTCAGTCTATTTGTGGGCAAAGTAAGTACGATCCAACTGGCGAAGGGTCGAGGTCTACTCCGCGCGGAGCGAATCCATTTCGAGTTAACGCATATTTGCGTCCTCGGCCCCAAATACGTTAATATTCAATATTTCACGTTAAACTGGAAATTGTTATGTGGTTTGCCAATCCTTGATAGATCGTGAATTTTAAGGAGATGACATGTTTTTAAACATATGTACCGTTTTGGCATTTACTGTCGAAGAAGTGAGGAAACGCACAAATACTGATAACGGTTCGGACAAATCAACGAAGCTAGATCCCCGAGTTTATAGCGTTTGAGCATAAAGATTTGTTCCCTTATTTTTCCTATTTCATGAGTTTAATGAAGTCACATTCTTTCGTTCCATATTCACATTCATATTGGAGACTCCTTACTATACCCACGTACACTACCGCTCATCAGCGTCTTCAAAACGACACAACAGTCAGAATGTCACTAACAATGATTTGGTCTATACAGATCGCTGCATGAAAACTACCCACATTCACTCACACACACCGCCCACCTCGGATATTGAATATTACGGAGGACTGATTCCACGTTGTCGTGCATACTTTTTGCCGTTTACGATCGGTTTTAGCGCCATACCATATGTGTCATAACGTGTGTACTCGATAGTGAGTCCGGACGGACGGTAATCGGATGTTGAACTTCTTTTTCTACTACGAAATGTGGATGGACAGTAACGGTGTGCAAAGGCGCGAATAGCAATGAAGTTGTGGTAGTTACCGTAGTCTAACGTGGCAGACGACTCACCGCAGTATTTCAAATTACGCACACGAAAAATTCCAATTAAAACGTGCGCGTGAATTTCTGAGTATGAGATAGAGTGGAAGCATGGGAGACAATCGCAATTGAACGCCAAAGATTCTGTGCACATGTAGTACGAAGAATTTGAAATGAGCTGGAAAGAGTGCCAAAGAAAATAGCACGTACATTTCCACCCAACAATTCATGGATATGAGCCAAAATACGTCGTGCAGTTTGTGCAGAGATATGCATAGTTGCCAGTGCAGTTGCGTATATAATTGCGCATGCGCCAAACAGATAATAATAGAATTGTCTTTGGGTCACACAGCAGTTCTCGCCGGAGATGGCATGATGGTATGTTTTTTTGCACTCAAAAAAGCCCAATGAAAAGACTATAGCAACATGAATATACTTTAGCCCTGATGCCGGGCAACAGTGGTGAGTCGATCCCCTACACTAATATACAACTGTGGATAGGCACGGCCCCTCAACTAAAGTGGCAATCATGTTCGTAGTAAACACATGAATTGGACCGCGCGACCGACACTTACGTGTGGTTTGGTAGATATTTTAGACACAATGAACATGGCAGAGCGCGTGAAAGGTAAGAGGGCGGGCGTTGTCACTCGTGCGGCTCTACCTCCCGGACGCTGAAATATTACGCGGAACGTGCCTGTGTAAGGCGCTGCGCGTCGGTAATAACGAGCGAGCGTCCGTCCGTTACCACGTATTCCGTCACCACGCGCAACAGTACGGGAGGTGAATCGTGCCTGAATCCGACGATGTATCGCTCTTTTTTCGTTAGAGGAAGAGGAAGCATGTTTATTCAAGTTGAACGGCCTGTCTCGTTGAGTGGGAGGGGCGAGGTCGAAATGTAATTGGAGACACAGAAGAAACGAACCTCCTCCTCGAGACACGCCTCCGCGCGGAACGTTGAAAAGTGGTCAAGCCGATAAAAAACGAGTGAATATGATGGTGAAAATGAACAAAAATAACATGAAAATACGAATAACAGAAAATATACGCCCATGAACGTAGAAAATAGTTAATAAGTGAGCACAAAATCCTATATAAGTGCAAATGCTAGTCCAAAATAAGTAAATATGAAATATGAAGGTAAAAATGACCAACATCAAATGATGCATTTGTTTGTTCTATTTGAACGAAAACCGTCTATGTACCCAGACTTTGCAACTTTCCGACGTCACGTAGTAAAAAAAATTGTCTATCGTCGAACCTAGGACGAAGCTTGCAACGAAAAGCAGGTGGAGCACGACGGCTCAACGTGGAACTTTATCTGAGCTCGCTGTTCCTAGTTAATGAAGTTGGGAAGTTTGTGAATCAATGGCTGGAGAATCACAGAGAAAGGGAAGAGGAAGAGGGTAGAGCAAGATCACTATGTAGAAAATCTGATGCTATATACGTTGGAAGAATCTCATTCTACGTTAATTACCCTTACTCTTTTACGTTTTTGCTCGCAATGCCAAACCGCATTGCCTCCGCGTGCAATTTGTGCTATACGTAAGGGCTATCGTCTGCAGTTCTGAGATTGTATTATCTTTTGTGTGAGCCCCACGTTGGATTCAGGGTGGGTAGTGCTGTCAGCTTCCGTCGGGAATCCCCTCTTCGTAGGCTTCATGAATCATATAGGACCGACCAGATAGTGTTTTAGCCAATCATCGCCCCATCAAGGGTTGTGTTTTTTCCGTTATTCCACAGTCTCAATGATTCTATTCTATTTGTACGCAGTACGAGACTCAATATGATAAAAGCAAAGAGAAATAACGTCCCATAATTTTGCCATCAAAGATTAGGGTGAGTGTGGTTTTTTTCCCCAATAAATAAATCTATATTGCATAGTGTGTCTCCATTCCGCGTTAACGCATATTTGCGTCCTCCGCCCCAAAGAGTTTAACATGACATTATATACGTTCATATTCAATATTCCACGTTAAACTGCAAATTGTTATGTGGTTTGCCACTAATGTAATAGATCGTGAATTTTGAGGAGATGACACGTTTTTAAACATATGTACCGTTATCCACATTGTTCTTTTACTGTCGAATTGGTGAAAACAGAAGAAATATAAGTGATAAAATTCTTGTGTACAAGTTCCAATAAGGATTGAAAAAAGAGGGTTATTCTCCCATATTAAATTAGCAAATGTTTGTGTACACACATTTTGATAATTTTGATTAAAAAGTCTCGCGCCCTTTTATATGCTGTTAACGTTGACAACGCACTCACAATTACACCCTCATAACCAAAATCAGGGTGCCGTCAAACATGCCTGTATAAACGCATGAAAATGCAGAATAATGGAATATTAAAGAAAAAACATTGAAAACGAGCTCAATAAACGTACTGTGCATATATGAAAAAACACGCGTAAAATATCGATGAAAATCTTTTGTTGTGTGCGAAAAACAAGAACTAGTATGACGTGGAGCATGAATTTGTAGCAGCTGTGTATATCACAGACGTTTATAAACATATCTACCGTTTGTTTCGCTTAAAACGGATAAGATCGTCTGAACATGAAGTATGAACGTGGTCAAAACTTCAAAACTGTGCGTCTATATTTCACATTCACTCTTTCTTCTGCATTTTTGACACTTTTATAATGTTTATTTTTCATCCAAATCTTTAATTTTCATGAATTGGAAATGTGGGTGGGCACCAACTGGAATTGTGGGTTGGCATTAATTGGATATGGGGGTGGGCACCAATTGGAATTGTGGGTGGGCAATAATTGGAAATGTGCTCGGGCAATAATTGGAATTGTTGGTGGGCATTAGTTGTAAATGTGCGTCGGCGACAATTGGAATTATACAAGCATTGGAAACGTTATCTTATTAGCAGTTCTACGTTTATCCCCGGCTAAGTTGATTTCTTTTGCTTTTTCTTTGTAGATGAACACCAAATGGAATTGCGGGTGGGTGTTCGAGCTCGGTTCCATATCTGCAGGCTCTTCTACATTTTTACACATTTATTATGTTGGCACCAATTGGAATTGCGGGTGAGCGTTAATTAGAATTGTAGGGTTAGCGCCTATAAGCCTTATTTGCACAGATGTACACATTCTTTAAACTTTCATATTAGTTCACATTCGCACTTTCTTCCACTTTTTCAAAATGCTCATAGCGTTTATCTCCTGTTTTCCACATAGTTTCACGTGTTTTCACATATCTCCGTGCCCCTGTGGTGTATTGCTTAATGGGGTGGTTGTGTCCTCCGGAGAATTCAATTGTGGGTGGGCGTTAGCCACGGATCGGCGCAAAAATGAGCTCAATCGACATTTGCGACGAACCTTTGTTTTCCGGCATGCCTGCGAACGCAGACGCACCGTATTGGCATCAGTTACGGCCCTCTTTCTGGGCTATACATAGTATTTCAGGAAGGGTCATAAGGTCATTGGTGACGAAGCTCCATTAGAGGAAATTTACCGCGCTTCTTTCGTGATTGCGCATGCGCAGGGGACGTTTGTGTCACGTGCCCTCGACTTTGCATAAGAAAGGGGTGTAGTTATTACCATCACAAGCGCATTGCGCTCGGCAGTGTAAATTGCCTGCATATCGTATATATATTCGCAGTGCGAAAAGCTCACGTGATGTCGGTTTATACGTACGTATACACCGCTTGATTGATGATCGACGTTTGCAGCTTTTGGAGCTCTGTATGGATGTTCTTCGTTCCAGATATACAGTGTACTGTAGTTACCGCATCCTGCTCGTTTTCGTGTGGGACGGAGTTTTTGTAGAACGGTGTGACAGCCGCGAGAGGCACTGGAATAGTGGCCATTGATCCTTTGTGTCACTAGGTATTCAGTCTTGTTCCAGGCGTTGTGTTCTGTACGCTTCCCTGCGTGAATATGCGTAGGTAAACTCCGTACCCCCGCCATTCTCTTGCACAACCGCACTCCCAGGCACGCTGCTGAGCCATTTCTACTATATATTCTGTCCTGCACCATCTGTACGCATGCGCAGAAGAGCTTCCCCTGCACAAAAGAAGGTATATATAGAGCTATAGCTCCCTTGACAGTGAGGCCACTAGCCTACAATATATTCATAGACATGTGTTGTGTGGCGTGACTCGTCTTCCAACCTACGATCATTCTGCACATGTGTGGAGGAAGAAAGGAGAGGGTGATGGCAGTATTTGCTACTGTAGGCTTCAGTATTTTCTACGACAGAGGTTACAGTATGTCCAAGAGCTAAAACAACCCCCCCCTCTCTTTCTTTCGAGCAGGGCTGTGATGGAATTACTTGCAGATGGTGTGATGCTGGAAAATCATAGAGGTAAGGTTCTCGCTCCTCTATCCCTTCTCTTCCTCTCACTTTCTTCGGTTTGGTGTTCCCCATAAGATATTGTTGTATATTGATAGATATGCCCGTGTATATACATGTTTCTTTTTTTTTACCATGCTACCAATTTCATTTTTCTACCATCTATATTATATGTATCATACTCTAACATGTGTTTTCGTGACTGTGCTATCGTACAGTTACTCCATGTGTGGCTGTCATTGTCTGGGTGTGTGGGTAGAGTTGGCTAGCCACAAAAGACTCTTTAACCCACCGCTCCAGTTCTAAAGGCTCTCATGTCATGCATGTCATGTGTATTTGTGTATGTGTTTTTTTATGGATTGTTTTGGGATTTGTGGATACATTGCGGTAGTTTTTATTTATTTATTTCTCTATTTTCGTTTTACTTTTATACGGCATGTGAGGACAGCTAGTCATTCGGAATACCGATTACACCTGGTTATTGCTTTTGTACATTTATATGGCATGTGAGGGAAAATAAAGGGCAGCTACTCATTCGGAACACCTTGATTACACCTGGTGATCGCCTTTGTACATTTATACGGCATGTGAGGGAAAATAAAGCACGGAACATCTGGTGATTGCTTTCGTACTTTTATACGCCATTTTGTACTTTTATACGGCATGTGAGGGGAAATAAAGGACAGCTTCTCATTCGGAATACGTAGACCTGAGAGACTAGTCTGGCGTAGCCTGCCAGAAATAGGCAGCTCTTTTTTTCTTTCGAAGGGAGAGTTTGCCCAACTGTAGCTGTGTTGCTTGCCGTACATCATGTAGCAGTGTGGTGTGTGTTCATATATACTTTGTGAGAATGGGAAATCCTGCTGTCAATGTTGTGTTCCTTTGTACTTTCATTATATAAAGTGGTTTGCAACACTCTATAGCTACGTATGTGTATATCTTAGTCTGAGCCTATACCCCACTGTACCAGTTTATTGAGCATTGTTTGTTCTACACTTACATACTCTTTGTACCATGTATTCACACATGAAATTATAGTTCATAGCATACCAGCCATAGGTATAAATGTACAAAAGTGTAATCGGTATTCCGAATGAGTAGCTAACTTGGTCCAAGCGCTGGGTTCTGTACGGGGTTATGTATGCTGCTCGTGGGCCAGGCTACGCTACACTGCTTGAACACGCGTAGGTTAACCCCGTAACCTCGCTATTCTCTTGCAAAACTTTTTTACATGTGCAGTCAGTGTTTCAAAAGCTAAAACAACTCTCCCTGGAGCAGGACAGTGGTGGAATCACTTACGGAACGTGGCTTGAAACCCCCTGATCATGAGTCCTCTCTCTCTTGTGTCTTCCACACTGACTGTGTTGGTTAGTTATTATTGTAGGTACATATTGTATGCAAATAATATAAGGCAAGCAATGCAGCTATACTAGGGTGAATTCTTTCTGAATAAAGAGCTGCCCAGGGTGTGATTCAAAACTACAACACTCTGCAGTCCAAGAAAACCCCTGAGCGGCTGAGGTGAGGGGAGTGGGAGGGAGAGCATTGCTAGCCGAGAGGAAGGGATTGGTTGCAGCATTGCTAGCTGGGATGGGTTTGAGCATTGTCTAGCCACGAGTGGAGGGCGAGCATATACTAGCTGGGAGGAAGGAGCGTGTTGCCAAGGGGAAGGGAGTAGGTGTGGCATTGCTGCAAGGGAGTGAGTGGGTATGTGAGCATTGCTGAGCCTCTTTTCTTTGCCTTCTCTCCTCGTCTCTCCTTCTTCTCGCATTTCTTCTTTCTCTTCTACGCGATGCTGAGAGAGGCAACACTTGTTAGGTTATTGCAGGCACCTATTGCCCCTATCTCGTGTATCACAAGCTGCTCACATTTAGCTAAGCTACAAATAGCTGTCTTTATTTCCCTCACATGGCGGTATAAAAGTACAATAGGCCGTATAAAGAACAAAGCAATCACCATGGGTGTAACCATGTGTTCCGATAAGTAGCTGTGCTTGATTTTCCCTCACATGCCGTATAACGAGTACACAAAGCATCACAGGTGTTCCGACGGAGTAGCTGGGTGCTTTATTTTCCCTCCCTGCCGTATAATGCAATAGGCCAGGTGTAATTGGTATCCGATGACTAGCTGTCCTTTATTTCCCCTCACATGCCGTACTAAAAGTACAAAATGGCGTAAGCAATCACCAGGTGTAATCAAGGTGTTCCCAATGAGTAGCTGTGCTTTATTTTCCCTCACACCGCCGTATAAATTGCATACCCAGGTGTATCGGTATTCCGAATGACTAGCTGTCCTTATTTCCCCTCACTTGCCGTATAAAGTACAAAATGGTGTATAAAAGAACGAAAGCAATCACCAGGTGTAATCAAGGTATTCCGAATGAGTAGCTGTGCTTTATTTTCCCTCACGTGGGGTATATATGTACAAAAGCAATAATCGGCATTCCGAATGAGTACCTGTCCTTTATTTCCACTCCTATGCCGTATAAAAGTACGAAAAGCAATAACAAGGTGTAATCGGTATTCCGAATGAGCAGCTGTCCTTTATTTTCCCTCACATGCCGTATAAATGTACAAAAGCAATAACCATGTGTAATCGGTATTCCGAATGACTAGCTGTCCTCACATACCGTATGAAAGTAGCATCACCAGGTGTAATCGGTATTCCGAATGAGTAGCTGTCCCCTCACATGCCGTATAAAAGTACAAAATGCCGTATAAAAAGAACGAAACCAATCACAAGGTGTAATCAAGGTGTTCCGAATGAGTAGCTGTGCTTTATTTCCCTCGTATAAAAGCACAGCGACGAAAAGACATGCCGTTAAATCACCATGTGTAATGAAGGTGTTCCGAATGAGTAGCTGTGGTTTATTTTCCCTCACATGCCGTATAAATGTACAAAATGCCGTATAAAAGAACAAAAGCAATCACCAGGTGTAATCAAGTTGTTCCGAATGAGTAGCTGTCCTTTATTTCCCCTCACATGCCGTATAAAAGTACAAAATGCCGTATAAAACCAATCACCAGGTGTAATCAAGGTGTTCCTGTGCCCTCACATGCCGTATAAAATACGATAGCAATTACGAGGTGTAATCAAGGTATTCCGAATGAGTAGCTGTGCTTTATTTTCCCTCACATGCCGTATAAAAGTACAATATGCCGTATAAAGAACGAAAGCAATCACCAGGTGTAAACAAGGTGTTCCGAATGAGTAGCTGTGCTTTATTTCCCCTCACATGCCGTATAAAAGTACGAAATCAATCACCAGGTGCAATCAAGGTATTCCGTATGGGTAGCTGTCCTTTATTCCCCTCACATGCCGTATAAAAGAACGAAAGCAATCACCAGGTGTTCCAACTGAGTAGCTGTGCTTTATTTCCCCTCACATGCCGTATAAAATTACGATAGCAATTACGAGGTGTAATCAAGGTATTCCGAATGAGTAGCTGTGCTTTATTTTCCCTCACATGCTGTATAAAAGTACGAAATCAATCACCAGGTGTAATCAAGGTATTCCGTATGGGTAGCTGTCCTTTATTCCCCTCACATGCCGTATAAAAGTACAAAATGCCGTATAAAAGAACGAAAGCAATCACCATGTGTATAATCCAAAGGAGTATATAGCTGTCCTTTATTTTCCCTCCCACCCCGTAAAAAGGTACAAAGCAATCACCAGGTGTAATCAAGGTATTCCGAATGAGTAGCTGTCCTTTATTTTCCTTTACATGACGCGACTACTGCTAGCTAGCTACAGATTCTGGGCGTCAGCAGCAGTATCTGAAGGTAATGATGCAAAACTTTTTGATACGGTTAGCAGCACGGCAGACTGTTTGACAACCACCTCGCGCGGGGTGCTCGCGTGGCTGGAATGCATGTTGATGTTCGGTCTGTTGTCTCATTCTCTTCTCTGTTTTTCTCTCGCCGTTTGTAGATGTCTGCACTGCCGAGCTTGGGATGGGGATGCTAGAGCTGCCTCGCGTGTCAACAACCATCTATCAGAATCCCGACCCGTCGCAGCTTTGTTTAGCTTATCCGATTGGCACGCCCTCGGGCTCTCCTCCCCCGCTGGCCGGGTTCTCCTTTTGTGCCACAATCATTCTGGTGTACACAAATGCCGCCATCTTCTCTGCCATTGAGCTGAGCGGAGTATACGCCTGAGGTAGGCCAACGTAACCATTCCGCTCATGCGGTCACAAAGGACTGTGGACCGCCCCCATTGTATCACCCAGGGATACTGAGGGGGCTGAGTGAGAGGCAATATGCAGAAGTGGCTAAGTCTCTCCTGGAGATGTTCACTAGACACCTCCCGGGGCAACGTACCCCAGTCTCCAACTGGTCCCTGGCTGTACAGGGTGCTGGGTTAAACCCGATAGGGCACGTATATGTCTTCCGGAGCACTAACGTTGAGGAGCTACAAGAACTGCACATCAGGGGTGCTTTTTCACCCTGACTGCCAGGATCACCAAGACAATTATGTACATCTTTCTGAACTCTGAACCAGGAATGAATGTTGTTATGATGTAAACTAAGTTTCTTGGTAGCATGGAATCCTGTGTGTGTGTGTGGGGGGATAGATGTGAAGGATGTGAAGGTCACGTAGAGCAACACCTATACATGTAGGGGTAGGGAAGAACAGACACATACTGCAATGTTAGGGTATACAGTATACCAGGGAAAGGAGACCAGAGAGAGAATGGCGAAAGATGGCAAAGGAACCACCTTTACCACAGCAACAGCCACAGTGCAAAACCCCAAGGTGTATGACTACAGTGACAGTTTCTGAGTGCCTCTATTGTCAATGAGTTCTGTAGGCGACAAAATTGAGACTAATGCCTGGACTTCCACAAAATTGGCCTTGTAGTGTTCTATATAGTAGAGTCTCACTACCTCTATAAGTTACATAAGAGCATCTGATCTAAGTTCGTCTCAGAATTGCCTACACAGTAGGGAAGTCTCGATGCATTTTTCAGTCGTTCTTGAGTGATGTAGTGATGTGTGAGCTGGACAGGCACGGAGCAGCTACTGATACTCTCTATCCTCAACAATGGCTGTCAAGTGCAAAGAAACACTCCAATTTTACCGCTCTATACGTCCAAAACAAACCACGTACCAGAAGCTCAGCATTACCAATCCATTACTATCACTGGCCTGCGTTCCTCTGCACGAAAAATGACTGCTCCAGCAGACGCTGCAAGTTGTATCCCAGAATTTCAACATCAAACACAAAATGAACACATTATTATGACATGTATACCCAGGATAATATTACAACATTTAGAAATTTGGTAATGAGGGAAGATGTTTATATTTCCAGTAGCAACGTCAGGAGAAAGACCAATCCTATGAACCGATGGTACGTATGTCGTAGCACGAACACTGTTCCCAACCACCACAGTACATCACCTAGTGGTTTCTTCAGCGGGAATTTCTTGTGTATTTGACGACAAACAATACTATAATTACTTGGGCGCATGCGTTAAAAATGTATGCACTTCGGAATATTTTCTCCTGCTTTCAAGCATTTTCTCTAGCTAACCTTCTCGTTACAGCTAAGTGGTGGAGAGTGATCTGTGTTTCACGTCATTGTGGGACCATTGCTCTGTGTTACGTACCATTGCCACAGAACTGAGCACTGTGGGGGCATTTACCCGTTGCTGCATTAAAACTTCGCATAGGTAGGTTTCAAGTTGCAAAGGTGGACACTGAACAAAGGCAGTGGTTAAAATGACAAAAATTGGCATCCCAAGACAGCAGGTTAGAGACAAGCTGTTTCGAGCTTGTTGGCTCTCATCAGTTGGAAGTAGCCACAACATATACCTGTCTGCTAGGGCGAGAGAGACAGGTTTCATGCATTGATGAAAGACTGGAACCTGAGGAGCATCTACTGGTTCTGTAAAGTAAGACTAATAAACTGCCATAGATACCACAAACACACACACAGGCCTGAAGAAAATGGAACCACATGCACCCACATCAACTGCATGTCACACAGCAACAAACTGTGCATGTATCTACTTGTGCTTATCATCCTCATGCAATGTTATTAACTGCGCGAGGTATACGCCTGCGCACTTTGTGTATACCTAGTCATGACTATGTGTGTAAAGTCCTGGCAGCCACATGTAAAAGGTGGACCTTTTGTGCAGACTGTTTCTTTAGGATCTGGGAACTGACAAAAGCAAGCAGATGCAGTGTTGGTGGGGAAAAGTTTAGGTTTCTATATTCCCAATATAACTAGGAATGCGCACGCGCATATTTTGCCTCGCGCCTGCCAGCCAATGCGTAAACAGTCCGACTGAGGCTGCTTGTGCACGCGCTCTATTGACTGCGCGCGAAGCCAGACTTCCTACGAATCTGCGCGCACGGCGGAAGCTAATTACGAATGACTAATTAACATTCTTAAGTGTGACCGACACGTACGTACGTACGCATATCGCGAGAATACAACCAGGAAGTAGTTGCCTCACGCTAATGCGCTCGGCAATAATATAGACTCAGACCAAAAACCACAGTAGCCAGCTTGACAATTCTTGGCAGTGGAGGTAGGGGGGGTGCTTAGTGCATTCCAGGCAAAATCACGTGCCATACATATGACTCCCATTTAGAAGCCATATTGTGGTAACTCCTACTAGAACAGTGGACAAATAAGGGCTTCCACAGGGTAAAAATAACTCTGGATCAGAGCAAGAATGATCAGGGGAATAAAGCAACAAGGTGAACACAGGGAACACAAGCAACACAGCAAGCAGCGAGGGCTACAGCCAACAGGACAAAACCCAGTAGCGTACACACAAGTAAACTGCGGAGGCAGCAAATACGCGTGGTATCTTTACAGGTACAGCTTTATATAAAACTGGAATCCATCATCTCTAGCACTGTTGCAGGAAAAAACGATGCACAATAGGTTCTCCTTTTGAAAGCGTTGTCACGTGGGGTTTTGACCGCACCCCCTTAGTTTAGGCAAAAAGTCACATCACCTCCAAATCTATGTCTTGCAAAATCGTCGAACTGTGGCGTTACTGCGCATGCCCATAGTGAAAAAATGGTGTGAAAATCGCGAAATACAAAGCTTCTTTACTCTAGTTTTGCTGCGCAAGTGTCGAAGAGGTGGGCGTCAGACGACCATGTGCTAGCGCAATTCCGCGATTTGCGAACATGCTTCCCATGCAATAAGGGCGAATTACTTACCATTACTTATACAAATGAAAAGCATTAAAGTGCAAACCCTCGGCGCATTGTGACGAGCACGCGTGAGTAAAAACGCATGCGCTGTATCACTAATGGCTGAGCTGGGTTTAGTTTTAGCTGTTACTCGTGGTTTCTTGCCAGCTCGCGCAGTCTGACGCGGGCTAACTACACTACTAGATAGCACGCGAGAGGCGATACACGCCCTGCGTTGCATCTTCTGGTTGAGGTATATATGAGGGTTACAGTACTTGGGTCTGTCCGTGTGTCTGTTACTCTACATCTCACCTCTCGAATGTCTGTTCGTCCCAGAAACGATACCATCTACCCAACGGGCGACGACGGTCAGAAAGCATGTGGGGTTTTCTCTGAAAATGCTCCGTTGCAGAGCTAGAGCACGAAAAAGCCAATATGCAAATACGCAACGGGCGGGAAGGCTTACCGCGGTCTGATCGATCCGCGTGCTCCTAGAAGGCACCAGAAGATGCAACGCAGGGAGTGTATCGCCTCTAGCATGCTATCTAGTAGTGTAGTTAGCCCATGTCAGACTCTGCGCGAGTTGGCAAGAGACCACGAGTAACAGCTAAAAGTAAACCCAGCCCATCGATTAGTGATACAGCGCATGCGGGCACTCTCTTCAGAGTGCCGACCGCCAGCTACCTCTTCAGCCGGCCCACCACCAGCGACCTCTTCAGTCTGCCGACCACCAGTCTGACGACCAGTCGGATAGCTGTACAAGTCACTTTGAAACTGAACAAGTCATTGTGCTGCACACATTTAATTACACACTCACTGCTACAAAATAAACTTTCATTTCCTAATTATTATTTATCAGTGTCTCAGAATAGCTTGGCATTATGGCGATAAAGAAAAATTAATGTACTAGCGCCTAATATTCAAACTCCCGTATAAATTCTTATGGACTTATGGAGGCTCTTGACAGGTTTCAGTGGCTGGTTAAGTGTTAACATGAGCAAGCACTGTCAGTTTGAAATGTGCAGCCATCATACACTGTACTACTGCAAACCTCAAAATGACACATTATCAGCACAACTAAGAACCTCCAAAAATTGTGTACATAATAGGGATGAAGCATAAATGAAAAGCACTGAAGTGCAAACCCTCGGCGCACTGTGACGCGTGCGGGTAAGTAAACGCATGCGCCGTACCACTAATTGATGGGCTGGGTTTAGTTTTAGCTGTTACTCGTGGTCTCTTGCCAGTTCGCGCAGAGTCTGACTCGGGCTAACTACACTACTAGATAGCATGCGAGAGGCGATACACGCCCTGCGTTGCATCTTCTGGTGCCTCCGAGGTACGCAGAGCAGGCGGATCGATCATGGCCGTTGTGTATTTGCATATTGGCTTTTTCGCGCTCTAGCTTTGCAACGGAGCGTTTTCAGTGAAAACCGTTCAAAATTTCTGACTTTCATTGCCCGTTCAGTAGGTGGTATCCTTTGTGAGATGAACGGACACTCGAGAAGTGAGATGACGAGTAACAGACTGACAGACACACACACACAGACCCAATGAAAAGCACTAAAGTGCAAACCCTCGGCGAACAGCACATGCACGGTACCGCTAATTGATGGGCTGGGCTATTAGTGTGCGTTTACTCGTGGTCTCTCGCTAGTAGCACGCAGAGAGTCTGACACGGGCTAGCTACAGTAAAAGATAGCATGCGAGAATCGATAGACGCCATTCGTTTGTGACTTCTTGTGCATTCAAGATACACAGAGCAAGCGGACCCATCGAGGTAAGCCTGTGCTAAATATAAGCGCATGCGCATTTTCCGGAGCGATAAAATGGCATCTACCGGCCTTATCCGTACAATGCTGGATGCGCCCTAGCTTTGCAACGGAGCATTTTTAGAGAAAACAGTTCGAAACCTTCATTGCCCGTCGTGTCCTTTCTGAAACGAACAAACACCCGAGAAGTGAGATTGAGAGTAACAGACAGACACACGGACAGACGGACAGACAGACAGACAGACAAACCCAACTACAGTACCCTCGCTGCGCATGCGCGCCGAGGGTAATGAAAAGCACTGAAGTGCAAACCCTCGGTGAACTGCGCACGCACGGTACCACTAATTGATGGGGGCTGGGCTTTTAGTATGCGTTTACTTGTGGTCCCCACACTACTCGCGGAGAGTCTGACACGGACTAGCTACAGTTAGCATGCGGGAGTCGATACACGCCCTTCGTTGTGACTTCTTATGCCTTCAAGATACACAGAGCAAGCGGTCGAGGTATGTAAGCTTGTGCTAATTAGCATATAACCGCATGCGCATTTTCCGCAGCGATAAAAATGGCCGACTACGCATTAGCCGTACAATGCTTGAAGCGCTCTAGCTTTACAACGGAGTATTTTGAGAGAAAACTCCACAAATTTTCTGACCTTCGTTGCCCGTTGAGTAGGTCGTATCGTTTGTGAGACGAACAAACACTCGAGAAGTGAGATGTTGAGTAACAGACACACACACCCAACTACAGTACCCTCGCTGCGCATGCGCGCCGAGGGTAATGAGCACTTTGTGACTCCAATGTACAAGCCCGAGCCACCAACCATCATTAGAAACTACTTTTTGTAAAAATTTACTCCATCTTTGATCTTGCTATCAACATAATAGGACACACTAGGATCAGTACTTTACAGGACACACACCAATCACCCTGTTCTGCAGAGACAATACTTTATGAGCCGCACACCAATCACACTGAAGTTAAGCAGTTAATTGCATTGTAAAAGGCAAGATAACACAAAGAAGTGAGCCATCCTTCTGTCGTTGGCGTACAGTAGAAGATTAGTTGAGCATTTGGCCTGACCTGTTGTTAACAGAGAGACCTTGAGTGTGTGTCCGGACTCAAAGTACACAGACAGTTCTTGACCTGGAATGACAGGAAGGCGATAGAAGAAGACGATCATCTAAGCCAGCTACTATGCTAGCGACAGAGCCATACCTACGAACACATCATAAGGATATGGACGTGAGGTGAAAGTATCACGGAATCCCTCGGTGATTATAAATGCATGTGCATACAGTCTGCACAAGGCTCTTTTCCCCTCCCACAAAATAGCCTGTGGATGAGGCTAGTGCATACAAGTGTGTATGTCTACACTCCATACATACCTGAGAGCATGTGCTATAGCACAAATCCCATATACATGCAAATTAGGACATAATTCATGGATCCAGGCAATGAGTCTGGCAATGCTGTATGTGTGGGCCAGAGCAGCCACATGCAAACTGTAGTAGAAACCTGATTTTGCACATGTGCAGGACAGGTACAGCCACTTAGAATTTCTGGAGCTAGATTCCAAGTGGTTTGGAAGACATTAGTGAGCTCTATAATAGATAAAGACCCACCAATAGGGCTCTCCATAGTGTCTGCAGGAGTTATTGGCCAGTGACAGGTCATTATAATACAGCTGTTGGTTGACCCAGGAACCTTCTCCTGCTGAATGGAACCAGAGAGACAGACAGACAGAGATAGAGGTAGAGAGAGGAAAAGAGGATGAGGAGGGAAAGGGAGAGAG